GCAATGCCGCTCGTGCTTGTGTCGAGCAGGCTTGGGCATGGGTAGAGGCACACGAAGGCCGGGAACCACCTGCGAATTTGCAGGAGCGTTTGAAGAAACATTTCCCATAATGAGATGCACGTTAGGGCTACTCGGAACTCCGACACATTGTACAGGAATCATGACACATGTGGTTGTTGCTTCTATTTTTGCGGACTCCTTGTACATCTTGTCATCTCGCAGGACAAAGAAGCAGTTTGACACAGCCTTGGACTCCCATGTCCAGCGAGTTTCGCAGTAAGAGGAGGTTGTCCTGTGTCAGACAGTGGAATCCTTGAAGTTTCCTGCCCCATGCTTGGACATCACTTTCTCTTGTCTTGGCTCTGAATTGTATGATGTCGTAGAGAGCCATCCAGAGAGGAAAAAAAGCAAGCATGAACCACACATGAAGCAAGGGCAGGTGTCCCTCCAACATAGAAGTCCGACATGCATGATACCCTGCAGGTCTTACTTTTCGTTTATCAGAATGCATCCTTCAATGGTAGAGAAGCCTGCCATATGTAAGACAAGAGAAACGAGTAGCCTGTTTTCCATGCACGCGTCCTGCCAATATTCCTCGTTCTTGTCGTGCAGAACGGAAATTCCTTTTATGTTCCATAGAGAAATCATCGACACCCACTCCGCATCCTGTCCTTTGTTCTAATTCTTGGGCTGTGCTACCAACGTAGATAATCGTTGTTCTTTCCTCGGAAGTCACTCGCAGTTCCTTCGGCGAACCCCTTTGAGATAGCCATGGTTGCACGGCCGAAGTTGAAGGAGGTCGGCCTCTCGCATATGCCGTCGGCATGGACATTGTTCTTGCGCGACATGAGCAGCCAGGGTGTGGACCCCAAACGGCGCCGACGGCTGACCAAAAAAACACCCCTGCGAGGACGATGTCATTATCAGCACAGATGGTCCCTTGGTCGCAGCCGTAGACTGGATATGCCGTGTGGTTGTTGCCTGTAAAAGTAGCCGAGTATGCCTTCAGATATCCCTCCAACATATACCGACGATGCCATATGTTGTTCACAGCAAGAGCATTAGTACTAGTAGGACTTCCTAGGTTATCACATAGACATTGAAAGTACTTTCTGGGTAGCAGATGCGACTGTCCACTTCAGTTATTCTGAAGATGTAGTTGCATAGCAGTAGTTCAGGAAAATAAAGCACATGAAGTTGTGATATTTTGATCTAGTTTCACATCAGTGGCATCATTGTACATGGGTGATCTTGAACTTGATGATGTCTAGCGGGCAGCACAGCCTCAGACTAAACTACCCAACTTCCGTCCTCTTGCAGGAAGAAGCGGCCGGACCTTCGCAAGGAGTACACCCAGAGAGCTCAGGACGGCTACAAGAAAAACCAGGCATCAAAAGACGAATATCGCCGTGCGAAACGACAAGAGAAACCCGTTTCGCAATCGATGGACTTGCCTATGGTCAGTGAACCGGAGGACTTCGATGGTCGTGGTACGTTCCGTTGGACAATGGAGGAATGCTTGGAACCCGCAGGACACATTGGGCGAGGCACATACGGGGAGGTCTTCGCATGCCATTTCCAGGACCTCCGCCTGGCGTTGAAGGTCGCCGTTCGTACGCCGGACAAGGACACCGCAGTGGTCGACACACACACGGATGGCCTGGAGAAGTCTTGGGACTTGACACGGGAGTACACAATCCTGAGCAAGATCGGACCACACCCGAACGTTGTGCAGCTCTACGCTTTGCTTCAATCCTCGACTGGACACACAGGCATTCTCATGGAGAATGCCTCATTGGACCTTTTGAAAGTTGTTCGGCAGCTGCACGCAGAGGACACTGAGGACTCCGTGCCATGGACAACACGACGAGCACATGTCACCACATATTTTCGGCAAACACTGGCCGGACTGGGCTATGTGCACAGCAAGAACATCGTGCATTTGGACGTCAAGACGAACAATTTCCTGGTATTCTTACCCGCGCACCGTGTTGCATTGTCGGACTTCGGACATTGTCGTGCACAACCCGTAGACGGACAAACACGCGTAAGAGCTGACGAGGTTTATGCAGCGTACTACAGACCCATCGAGTGCCTCTTTGCTGGTGACAAGAAGGCCGGGATATCTGGGGAGACAGAAAAGACTGAGCACATGATGCAGTCAAAAGACTACTGCTAGCAGCACATAAAGTGGGTGTGAGAAGAGTCATCAGTGCAGCCCACTTAGCAATGGCAGTATAGTTCTTTCTCGCTATGCAGCACGGAACTACTAACAGGGTTGATACATCATGCTTCTTTTACTCTTGTCGACCAGAAGATTGAACCCACAGCTAGACTAGTCTGTTGAAGTGGTTAATGACAAAGACAACAACCTAAGTGAAACAGTTTACGTTTAGCTTACAGTTAACTTCTCCTTGTTTTCCCTTGAGCATCCCTTTCGAAGAAGCTTCCCAGTCACAGTTTTCCTAGTCTGCAAGGTCGACGTCAGCACCAAGGCGGACATGTGGGCACTCGGCGTGGTCACGTGGGACTGTTACGCTCGGACTCATCGATCATTGTTCGTTCCGGACCCGAAGCTTCTCGTTCAGAACACGAAGAGCTTGGAGGAAGCGTTGACTCGTTTCCGCCTCCAATGGACCGGCAGGACATCGGACATGCACCTCAAAGAGGACCTCATCGCCGGAGCCGTTTTCAGTAGGACTTTTCAGCTCGAAAAGGACAGGTGCACCGCGGTGACTTTGTACAGAGACTTGAAGTTGCCAATTTCCAAGACAATCGAGACACTCCAGGAACCCGAGGTACCAAGCAGTTAATTCGTTCCTTTAGAGTTGGGCAGTCCCGCCGGACAGTCGGACAACTCGTAGATCTTGGACACAGTGGGTCGTTTGTACATGTTACACAAATCTAGCAAGGCAACGACAAAGCAGAATGGACAACGACTCCTTTGGTCCTGTTATGCTCCAGAAGCTGACAAGCTCTCGCAGTCGATGATTGGCTCCAAGACAAAATTGCGCTGCAGACACGGTGTGCTTTCTGCATTGCATATCCCATCGGTCAGCTGCAATTTCTGTTCCAATCCAACGTTAAGTAAGCTATTGTTTTAGTGGTCTTTGCTGAGCCATGTTTAATTCCATTAAGGTCTGCCATTGTATTGCCTTCGTTTTTTTGTCCAAAGTTGAAAGGATTTGGATATCCGTGGAACCTCTAAGAGATTGTAATCTTGTCTTGATCGGTGAGCAGACAGTGAGCACAGTCAGATTCTAACTGGAAGTTGGACAGCGTTCTTTGTGTTCTGCATTGCAGGCGGCCAGTGCTTCTACATCGCAGTGGCCTCACACACGCTGCTGCGAAGGAGCCGTCCGTGGCATGGTAAACCGTGATTTCATAGGTCCAGTTCTCTTGCTGTGCACACGGATGATCATGTTCTATAGGTTTAGGAAGCTAAAATGAAATGCACAGGGCCAAGGGCAGTGTAGAGCATGTTGAAATTCCTTTCGGCGAGCTTCACAGTTGCCTCCTGACGGACATTGTGTTCTGCAATTGGTGTGCTTTCAAGAGAGCCACAGGATCATGTCAGTAGACGTTCGTCAGAGTTCTATACAGCAAACTGTCGTTCAGCATAGGCATGGACGTCCACATATACTTGAAGAGGACAGCAGATCAGAATGCTTCCACCTCGTGGGTCCTAGTAAACTTAGACCTCTGACACTGAGGACGTTGTACACATAAGTTACACACCATGGCCCTCCGAAGAGCCTTGCAGTTCCGGCCGGACGATTTACCAACGCCGGACAGACCTCAGCGGACACCTTTGGCCAGGGACGTACAAGTTCAGAAAGTCGAAGTACACACGCCTGTTCACGAGTTTCTGGAGAATGATCGCAAACTTGCTGTTTCTGCAACTCGAACGAAGGACTTGTTCAGGCTGTGGTCCAGGAGACTGGTTCCGGAGGACGTGGTCTACCTGAAGGAGATGCTCCTTGAGGGCAAAACACTCGACGGACGATACGGCTCCATCTGCAGTGGAATGGACATTGGAGCGACGGTCATGAAGCAGTTCTGGGACTGGGCTCGTTACAATTGGGAGCTGGACGGCATGTACTTCCAACACAAGTTCGCTTGCGAAAAGGACGCTGCCAAAAGGAACTTCCTCCTGCAGGCACACCCAGAGATCCAGCACATGTTCAAGGATGCCGCGGACATGCAACACGACACTGTCTTCGACACGAAGTACTACACACAGATCCAAATGCCGCTGTGCACCGCAATTACGGCGGGCTTCCCTTGTCAAGACTGCTCCGTGCTCAACACATCGGCCTCCTCGTCGGACAATAGATCGTGCGTGGCGACAGGACGACTCCGTACCGGATCGGTTTTGCACAACATCGTGCAGTACCTCAAGACTCAAGGAGCGGCAGCGCCGAAAGTCTGCATGTTCGAGAATGTCGTTGGACTGACCCGGACACATGAGCGCGGAGCAAACAGTAACCTGGACCACGTGGGACACCTGCTGGACAAGGAGACGAATCGACTTCTACACGTCCGGGAGTTGGACCCACGTATGTTTGGAGTTCCGCAGAGCCGGAAGCGGCTGTGGATGACAGCCATTCCTCGCAAGTGTTTCGAGGGACTCCTCCCAGAACCCGCCGTTCATAAACTCCTCAACAGCATCATGAATACCCTGCTTGGTTTGCTGGTAATGCCGGTCTCGGACTATTTGGTCCTGCCAAGGCCAGAGTCGCACTGCAACGGCTTAGTTTCAACCCTGATGTTATTCGTGTCTTTAAAAAAAAAAAAAAAAAGCTTTGGCATAGTACATAGCAGTTTCTGTATGGATTTTATCATTGTAGACTTCGACTTGAAACGACATGTTTCGTAGACGTGTTCTTTCTTCAGTCAGTACTTGTTATAAACCCTGCAACTCGTCAACAAGTAGTGCCGCCGTTCGTTGTGATCAGCAAATAATCGGTATACATGCAGGGTTCGATGTCGACATTGCACTTGTGGGTTTTGGGGCCCATGTGATGTTTTCACCACCATCCAGGACTCTCTTCAAACGTAAGTGTCGCAAGGCTGATCCAGTGAACACTGAGTCTGCACTGGTAGCATGTGGTTTCTGGTATTCTTTTGCTTTTGTTTCTGCAGGTCCACAAGCCTGATGACGTTCAACCACGAGGCCCAACGAAAGCTGGAGATCATGCGCACTCGACGGGCCAATCGTCGTGCTCAACGTCGTGCACTACAGGAAGCCCAAGAGTCCCAGGACACACAGCACGAGGACCACGCAGTACCGCAACGCCGTCTTTCCGTTGGTTCTTATTTGTCCAGTCGTGCAGGAAGTGCCAGCCAGCTGAGCACATGTTCATCTGGCACCCGGATGTTGGCACGGGAAAGGATCGTGACAAAGGACTGGCTGAAGAGCTTCCGCCGTGCAGCTCGTCAAAGGCCCTACCTGAAGTGTATGACAGCCCGTAAACGCAGGACTTTGTTCAAGCTCGGAATACGCAATTTCCCAACCACGGCGGCCAATCTGAAGGTCGTGGACATCTCGCAGGACAAGTTTGCGCACGCCACGGACCACTCCCCGTGCATCCCTCCGAAGGGCGAGCGGTACTTGACCTCGGAGTGCAGGCCCATGCTGCCGGTGGAGTCCATGCGACTGCAAGGGCGATGGTTCAAAAGCGACGATCCTTTGCTCTCGACGGTGCCGCAGGGCCTACTCGCAGATCTAGCAGGCAACGCCTTCGAGGCAAGTTGCTGTGCTGCTACATTCTGGACAACGATGGTCTTTTTTTTTTTTTTTTGGAAACTCAGCGAGGCGCAGGACAAAGCACGTGGGCCACCCGTTGGCAGGCAGTACCACACACCGGACTTCGACTCGCAGGTCCTTCTGGATTTCAGTGACATCGAAGACGACTTGCACGGAGCTCAGACTGAGGAGGACGACACCCGCTTGGACGCAGAAGGACAAGACCCGCGTGGAATGCCATGATTCTGATTCTGAAACCCGGAGGAGTCCTCGTTGACGATTCTTTGCCGGCTTTCTTTGTGCAGTATCTCCGCAAACAGTCGCAGGGCATGAAAAAAGCATTCTCATCACGTCGTTTATCAGCTTGGATTCCCTTTAGACTTTCGGGCAATTCCCAGGGTTGCAACAGGAAGCGGTGGTGCTAGAATCTTTTCTAGTGTTGACAATGAACAAAGTCTGTCTATGTTCACTGAGGTGCACTTGTTGTAATGAGGAGTCCGACAAGAAGAACCCTATGACTATTAAAGTGTCTAAGAAGAATTCAGAAAACATAAAGGCAAGTCTTGCACAAGTGCCAACACTAGTTTGAAAGCCACGTCCTGTGTGGCCCCTGGTGTAACCAAGTACACAAATCATCCTGGAAATATGGCATTCCATTGAAAAGCTTCTTTCTCCAGGACCTCCTGCAGTGCCGGACTTTGACAACGGACAAAGAGAGTCAAGATTGGCTGAGACGCAGGGATTCGTCGTTCCCGACGGTCTTGATAATTAATGGCTACATAGACTCTAAGTTGTATTAAGTTGATTACTAGGCGGATGCAGGGCTCGATGGTGATGCAGGTTTGAAACTTGGTGGAGCTAGCCTTTGCCAAAAAAAATAAGTAACACAACGCAGATAGACAGGTCTAAGACCAGAAACTTGTTTGCAACAAACGGCAGAAGTACACTGCTGCCCAGGAAATAGCCACAGAGAAGACAAAGTAGACCTTGTGATGTGGTGTGTATCCTTTCCAGGTTCTGCCTTCTCCAACATGCACTCGAACAAATAATGTTCGACCGGAGAGTTTGTTGCATGACCTTTCACAGAATTTATTCTTGCCTAAACTCCATTCGTCTGATTTTGAACCCTACGTTCTAAGCTCATCATCTAGCAAATATGCCAAATGCACACTTGAAACCGCATGGTTCACCAATGTTCCGAGACAAAAACATGGATAAGGTTTCGGTGTTCTTTGTCGCCGGACATACAAACATGCAGCTGCATGTCGTGGGGCTCGAAGATGCAAAAGCCATGCTCCAGAGTGTAATATTTGTTGCAGAGGTTTCTTAGGCTCCACCAAAAAAATTGGTTTGCGCTTGAAATGCGCTTGGTCTGCGCTTGATCTGCGCCTGGCTTTGCCCACTGAAATATTGGTATGCGCTTGGTCCGCGCTTGGTCTGCGCTTGGTCTGCGCCGTGTTTAGAAATGCATGCGCTCGCAGTGGCATTATCCAAACACTTTTGACTATTATGTCTCTTTCACGTTTTGAAATAGATGTAGATCCTTTCCATTCGGTAACTTGTTACATGTTGTGCCTTGCTGTTATGGAGAGTAAAAACTCGCCAAAGCTTTTGCACTCATACATCCTCACAGGAATTTAGCTTTTTAAGCACTTTGGCATGATACTGTATGTGGCAGATGCTATGCATTTCCTTGCACTTGCACTTCCCTTGTTTATGATCATGTTCAAGTCGGTCTGCATTCGCTTTCCATTGTACTGAATTCCATTGCTCTGCACTTGGTCTGCGCTTGGTCTGCGCTTGGTCTGCGCTTGGTCTGCGCCTGGTCTGCGCCTGGTCTGCGCCCACTGAATCATTGGTCTGCACTTGATCTGCGCTTGGTCTGCGCTTGGTCTGCGCTTGGTCCGCGCTTGGTCCGCGCTGGTGTATACCACAGGCCGTGAGAGCATTTTAAATGATATTAGGTATGTTTGAAATCTGCAAGTCAAACACTCTTTGTTTGCATAGTGTTTGCATTTGTGCTGCTCTGGCATGACTTTATCAGTGACTCAGCAGTTCACCATT